TTTTGAAAAGTTGTCGATTACTGTTAGTATGTATTTATAATCATCATTTACTGTAGCATATGATTGCATATCAACAATATCAGCCTGCCAGGTTTCATCTAATCCACGAACATCAATGTGACGATGTTGATAATTTTTACGAGCAACACGATGTAATTCTTCAGCAATTAAAGTTTTGTAAGAGTTATTCATATTTTATTCGTATTTTCTAATGCTGTTAATTTTTGATCTTTGTTTACTAATATATTATAATGGGCTTTAGTTAGGCTATGATTAATGGTAATGCCTTTTTCTAATTTCTCATTTATTTTATCTAAACGAGTTTTTAAATAATTATATATTTGTTTGATTTCATTGTTATAGTTTGTGAACTTATCAAATCGTTCAGTATTATTGCGTTTTATAATATTTATTTCTCTCGACAATAATTCTGACACACATTTTCAAAGATAAGCCATCACTGTCTTCAAAAACGTCACCCACATTGCATAATCGTTTATTTTCAATATCATAATTACCATCAATATCAATCATAAATCCTTTTCCAGGAGGCCCTTGACGTCCTGTTGTAAATTTAGATAATTGAACACTATTCAATGTAGATTTAATAGGATCAGACCCATTTGACATAGATGATTTAGCTATGTCAATAACATGCTTGAAATGTTTCTTTGATCTTTTTCCCTTTTTGTTTATTTTATTTTTGATTCCGAGACCAAATTTGGCCTTTGCGGCCATCGCAGACACAATGTCTAACGCAATTGCTCTTTCATTCAACGACACGTCTCCATTAAATACTCGTTAGGCTAGCACACGATCGGCTTGGTTTCTAAGATGAACATTTTCTCTGTTCTTCGAATATGCTATATCATGTTCACGACAAGCTGAATCGAGCGGGTTAATACCCATATCATCTCGTGCTAATCAAATTGGGAGTTTAGTTCTAGGACCACAGGATTGATAACCAGGTATATGTAACTCAAACGGTAATTTATTCAATATATCATTGAAAATTCTAACCGCTTTTTTTCATCTTCGATAATAATATTCATTATTATAACGAATTATGATTCAATATAAGAGCTGTAGACCTTTTAGCTAATTAAAGTGTTATAAAATAAAACAATGATGTATATATTAATATACCAATTTTTTAATGATAAAACAAATACATATGTTTATATATTTTAGTTATGTAAACATGAACTTAATCTAACAATAAAACAGATCTTTTTTACGTTGTGCATTTAAAATATTTTGTAATGTCTCCAAGGTAATATGTTATATTTATCAATTACTAATCTTTTATCATCGTTAGCATTCAATACGGTTTTATTTATTTTTTGTGAGAATGTTGTGTGTTTGATTGATTTAAATACTTTTATACATGTGCGAAACGTAGTGTTTGTTTTGAAAGTACATTTTTACTCGTTCGTAGTCAAAAGATTTAGCACTGTTTTGTTGACTCCCTTTGCCTTTTTAATTTCATCGTTTTCTGTTTTAATATAATATACTTTAAACCTCAAACTTATAAATTCAGCAACGACTGTCCCTCTTAATGCATCTTTAAAAAGACCCAGTATCTTTTTGTTTACGAACGGTAAACCATACACGTTATCCTTACTAAAGTTGCTTGTATCAAATAATTCAAGATTATTTTTTAATCTTCATAAATACAATGTTTTGTAGGTACTATGTAATAGACTAAACTATCGGTATCGGTATAAGACAGTTGGGCTCTGTCACCGTATTTAAATTTGGTAAAAGAATAGTGAAAGTTGTAAAGATGAGTTTCATTTAAGTCTAGTACTGTGAATCCCATGTATATAGGGCGATCAAGTAAATTTTCTGACTTTTCCATCTGAGCAGCCGCTTCAGAAAATATTGTTACATTATGAAAATTTGGTACCTATGTATTTATTTGTGACCGACTAAATTTACAGATATTTGTTTTCGTTTGTGTTCAAAAGTTTTTCCAAAGATTAAATTGTAAAATAATTTAAAAAATCTTGTTCAAACGTAGACTGAGAACCGACGTAAACGTGTATTCAAATTTATATATAACTTTAAGTAATTACTTTGTCTAAATGAGAGAATTTAATTAATTTTATTTTATTACATAAAATTAATTAAATTCCTAATTAAATTTGATATTTCAAACCATCTTTTAAACACTCTTTCAAATGCATGTAACATAATAATATTTAATATACAAATTTACAATCAATTTAACAGTCTTTCCTCTAGATTTCATTTTTTAACCGATTTCAAAAAATGGAGGAGGTTCTCAATTCGACTGAATTTATTTTGTATGTATGTTATTCGATATCTCCGAGAGTTGTAAACCGATATTCAATTTTTTTTATTCGAAAGGTTATACCCTCGAGATGGTCCTATTAGTACCAAATCAGGATCTGATGGTGGAATCCTAGAGAAATCGAGGGCAAGCCTCAAATATTATAGGCACGTACAATGTGTTTTAAATATTTTCTAATAAAAAAAACTATTCAAGTCTTTACGAAGATGGAAGGTATTATAACTCTTTAACGATTAGGAGTTTAGAATAATTCTTTCAACATTATAGGTTCGTTATACCTTAGTGTAGAACAAATGTGATCAGCTATAGGTGATCAGCAATTTGAGAAAAGGATTAATTGTAAAGAAAAGAAATTATGGCAAGTCGCGCAATCTTAACATTTCTGTAAGATCCTTCTCGTCATGGGGTCTATTTAATAACTTGTTTGCATCTAAGTCCTATAAAATAACACCTTCCAGTGTTTTGACAGGACTTAGAGCTACATAGGTTTGTCCTTTTGCGATTTTTTTTCCTAAATTAATAACTGCCTTATCGAGTGTTGTGCCCTGCAGATTGTGGACAGTTACTGCCCAACTTAAAGTAATTGGTAGTATTCTGCGCTTGATATCACCATATCCCCTCTGTGCCTGAAAGGTTGTGGAAGCAGAAGAAATTGCTATACAATCATCGTGGTCTTTGGTTTTAGCCCCAATAGTAGGATCATCAAACTTTATCAAGACTACTTCAGGTAATTCTCCTTCCAACTAATCACGATGGAGTGCTGGCCATGTACATTTTTTTCCTAAGTCTATCTTCCTTTTTGTCTTTTGCCTTAATAGATCGGCGCTGTCTCATTAAAGCAGCTCGTTTAGATAGTCTTCATTATTAATTTTCACTAAAAAGTAATAGATCAATCAAATTTTTTAACAAAAAAAAATCGGCCTCAAAAAAAACCCACACAAAAATTTTATGAATAAAAAACACAAAAAAGGGTTTTATAAAAAAAAATAACACAAAACAGAATGTGCCTAAATAGATATTTTAAAATACTTAAACACTAAGAAGTACCAAATAATTTTTTTCACACAAAATATTAAGCTACACTAACTTGAATCTGTATTTATATGTATAAAACATTAACATAACTCGGCTTACCGACTACAGCGACTGCTTAGTCAAAATAATATATTACACATCAAATATTATGTACTACGCTAATGGCTGATTTGAAATGGCTCTGAATTCTTTATTCATTCAACAGAAAGATTCGTGCGAGACGTGTAGTTATTTTTCTATGAAATTATTCTCTAGTATAAGTTTTTTCACTGTTGAAACCTGTTACGCGTTTTGAGTTGTCGTTCCATAGAGAATAAATTTGCACATTTATAAATGTCTGTCTGTGGTGCCTGCGAAGTTGTTCTCAACCATTGGTAAGTGTGCAGACGTTTTTTTATCTGAAAAATCATTGCAAAGCTGGTTCACTTGTCGTCTACTGATTATCTTTAATTAGTCGACCAAATCTAATATGTATTTAGACCCCTAAAAGAATTGGGGACTCTAGATCACTTGTCGTTTACTGGATATCTTAATTTGCGAGAGCAAAGGGAGACGTTTCAGCAAATTAGGATTTTGAGTAGACGACAAGTGAGCCAGAGTCCCCAATATTATACTACTAATAATTGACTATTGTATTGATATATGATTGAACAGAATTGAAAACATATATTATCATTGTTATAATTAAATGCCTCTTTTGAATATAGCACTTTATCATTTTATGTAGCGATTTTGGTGTGAGTGATACCAGGGTTTTCGCCACAGTAACTACTGTTGCGAAAACCTGCTGTTACGAGTTAGTGACCATAGTGGTGACTATGAACTGAACGTCATAGCGTGGGTTAATCTCCAACTAGGTGTACCATAGCCAGTAAGGCGGCTCAGGACTGTAAGTCGTGTAACTGTAAGTAGTGGATTTTCAATATCTGAAAAAATTAAAGACGCTAAAATATTGAAATAGAAAATACAGTTATTTTACATTTCAATATTTTGGCGTGTCTTAAATGCGTCTTGCCTTAAAGTCATTTTACTTTAAATGCGTCATTTTAGCGTTTTAGCGAATATTGCACTTTAACGTATTTATCTTGTATGTACGTACATTACTTGACAATATTAAAAAAAAAGCGGAAATATAGATCTAATTCGGATAACCATAAAGACATACATGCAAAATTATAGAAAATGTATGAGCTGTCTTCGGAATATCGTTGGAACGAAGTTTATTTCGCCATAGGTAAATATATTTTATGAAATGAATAATAACAATTAAAACGTTGGAAAGTAATCAAATAAATAAATAATAGTAACATAAGTGAATAAATGTCAGGAAATATTTGTTAGTTGTAAATAAAATTTTTTTTTTGAATAAATTATTAAAATTCTAAGAAAAAGCTCTAAACAGCGTCATCAGTTTTATTTATTAGACTTTAAATTCGTTAATTTATTGAATTAAAATTGAATAACTCTCCAGAATTGAAACAATCCAAGAGTTTTATTTAACATTTTAGGAAAAAAAGAAAGGGAATTATAAATCGTATATAAGAACAATAAAATAAATTAACAAACTTTGAAATTAATGAAACGAAAAATACAACAAAATGAATAAGGGAATGGTAATAAAATATTATAAGGCAACACCAACAAATCCAACATCACGTGGTGTTCCCAGTCAGTCACCCATCCAAGTACTGACCGCGCCCGACGCTGCTTAACCTCGGTGATCGGACGAGAAACGGAGTATTTAGCGTGGTATGGACGTCGGCAAACAATTTTTTAAAATATTAACTAAAGCAAGAGTGGTCAGTATTTTTAGTTGCGGTTATAATCCCTTCCGTGTACCTCCCATCCATTGAGCGCCTGAGTGTAACGTGCGAGTGTATTTAATGGATTATAAAATTGCAATGTTTCTAATTTTTATAGCTTATTAGCTACTGATTATATACCTAATGTAATTAAAAAGTAAATATAAAAACAAGTAATGACATTAAAATTATTTTTAATGAAATTTATTGATAATGAAAACAGTTCAAATATAAAAAAAAGTTATTTTAAAAATTTTAGGGCCTCTTCCACCATCTACTTTTAAAATTACTTTTTACAAAAGTCAGTTAAAAAGATACTAGAGAGGCTCTTAGTGTTATAAACATTTGTTTATAACACTCTTGTATTTTGTAAATTGTAAATTGTACAATTTATAAATTGTATTTACAATGAACACATAATTTTTCAATTTCTTCAGTCGTTTCATTTTTTAGATAATATTATGATAAGAAAAATCTGTAAGTCTATTTCGGAAAAATTATTCACACCAAGCGAATAGAGGAATATAAATAAAAATTTGGTTGCCTGTAAAGTCGGTATACGGGCGAAAGTTTTACGTGACAACGACTTTGAATGGTAAAATCATTTTAATGTGAATATTCATTCGTATAGTAGGAAGAAGGATGAAATAATAGTAACAATTTAAAACATTTATTTATACAAAGAATTATATTTAAAACATTAATTTATACAAAGAATCTCGCACTGAATTTCATATTAACAAAATTTTATTTTTACCTTTACACATACACATACGTATTTATATACAAATATACATACAATAACTTGCAATACATTTGCAAGCTATGCACTAATTCTAGCGCAGCGCGCGGCAGACCGATCATAGTTGAGGGAGAGACGCAAGGCATTCGGCGGTTCTCTCGTTCGGTGACTCATCGTTACGTTACCGAGCGTTACACTTTTTCATAAGTGACTCCCAGCCGCAACCTAATTTAAGACGTTGTCACGTCAAAACAGAATTCAATTAGAGAGCGGATATAAAAAACCATGAAACGGAAGATATTACACAATTAACACATAATTCGTATTCAACATAAATCCACGCAGAAATCCCACCATCCGTATTCTAATTTAACAGAATACCTCTCGCATTCGTCAGGCCGACATCGCACGCGTGAAATATTTGGTAGCGGCGGCGGCGGGCGCCGCCATTTGCATACAATGCGCGGCCGCGGCCGGCGCGCCCGGCGCCGCCAGGGGTCCTCGCTGCTTTCCCGAACTTATTGCCCGCTAAATGGTACCGAAGGTATGAGCCGCCTATCACTGCATCGGATACATATATCCGTTTATTGCTTCAGCCCGTCTTAAGAAGTCTAGTTTTAATAAGGGTCGGCCTACTCGGTTAGTTTAAACTAATATTCTATTGAGATAGATGGATCCTAAGGTGGTTTCATATATTTTTCTATTTCACAAAACAAGAAGTTGTTCTGAAAATCGGAAAGAAATGCATGTTTATGACATTACGATCTATGCTATTTGTGTCATTTCTCAAAAAGCGACGGTACGTTTGAAGATATTTTGTTATATTCACATTTTTTTTTTATCGTCTCAGTACATTCTTAGTTACACAGTAATACAATTTATATTACCGCTTACTTTTCCACGTTCTGATACTTTTCGATCAGTTGAAGAGAAATTCCAACATTGAAAGATATTGGATAAGATAAACCGACCAGCCTAATTGACGACCTGGTGAAACTGTGATAGCGATATGCGAGACTCTGAAATGACTATCAGCATCAATTTGAACCTAATATTTAGGTGTTAGTACCAACTAAAGCAAGATAAACAAAAGAGATGACCAAATTAAAAACCTCCAAAAAAATGTCAAATTATGAAAACTGAAACGCATTCGCTTCTATCATATCTGTAGCTGGTATCGACTCCAAAAACAAGTAATTATTTTAATGAGTTTTTGGAATTATTATTACTATTTTTCTTACATAGAGTTTAGTACAACCACAGACATAGAAAAGTATAGAAAACGAATGTAGTCAGTTTGTGTGACTGCCTTTGAACTGAGTACTCACCGGGCCGATGCCTGTAGCAAAGAGCAAGCGGACAAATCAATCATTGTACGAGGTTTATATCACACATTATCTGAGCTTTCTTTATAAGAGATAGTGGGATGACTCTGTAAAAAAAATAAGAATTGAATGAAGAATGATAGAGGATTGTACATAAAATGATAGAGGAGACGAGAGAGATGTCCTACATTAAGTCGATATAAACATTGTAAAATATAGATATTATGTTGATTTGTGTATTGCAAAATCAGCCCTCATTTTTTTTAATGTGCATTCTCATCAATAAATGTCATATAAACCCTTCCACAACAAAAATAACGAATTTTCAACAAAGACCCGTTTATTTAACAAACGCATGTGAAAACATATTAATTTTTCACAATTGTCCAGTATCGTTACATTTCGTTTCATAAAATATTGTACATGTGTCAGATCATAAATTTCGTCTAAATTATTTTTAATTTTGGAGTACAAATAACGCCCTTCGTGTTTATCCGTTGAAAAAAGGTTTATTTTCCGAAGAAGTTTTAAACACACAATTCACGCACTACGAAACGAGAACTCTCTTATTTGCGTAAAGGCAGCAAACCTTAATTGTTTCCATGAGAAACGTCCACCTAGATTTGGATACCGGTAGAAAGTTTTCTCTTGCAGCAGCCAGCCGTTTTCCCAGATATCTCATGGCGTTCACAGTTGCATAGCAATTAATCTTAATAATTCATATATCAAATCCGGCTGTTGATAGATCACCACACAAACCCTACAAGATATGCTATTGAATTTATTTACATATTTTCGTCTATGGATGATAAAGTTATACAATCATTCACAGACACATCAGGGATTACAACACTTGGAGTGTCTGATAATGATCATGTGACTTTTGAACGACTTGACCTGTTATGGTCATATTAATATAATACATTGTTTTGTCGAGAGGATGATTCATAGTTGTGTTAATATCCGATAGGTGGCAATGTAGTAATATTTCCCATCTGATGTAAAAAGCAACATTCATCAAAATCTAGAATAATATGAGCATTGAAAATGAGTAAAGAATCTAGAGTCTCTCCTGGACTTCGAGATAAACAAACATGGCTATTATATATTTAGTTTTTTTTTTTTTTATAGGAGTTGTTTTGTTTCCTCGTCTAAGAGCGTATTTCACAACAATACGTTTGATCAACAATATGTCGATCACCAACGTGTTTGCGTGGTCGACAAAAAAATTTAAAAACTTTGCACAAATTATGCGAACAACATCTACACCTCGCCCATTGAAAAGGGCCCCGCAAGGTTTGTCGAGCCAGCGAGATTTTAATTTCATATCCAATCGTATATCTAAATTAAAACATATATTATAGTAATTAAATATTCAATCATGGAGATTTCTTTATTGTAAACGGTACGTCTGTCATTTTACGTCAGCGTACAGAGTGATCGTGTGTTCAATTCATCTTATCGGCTTCGCCTACAAGGTTAGTTTTGACACAGTCGAGATGGATATGTGTTCTGTGGTCCTTCAAGTTTGCGACGACTAAATTCATAGACAACGGAAAACTAGCGTTGTTGTGCCAATATACACATTGTCAGAATCATTATAACGCAAACGTCATTATAGATCCGTGCTTCATGCAGCTCGAATTATAAAACGCCAATCGCTCCTTTAAAACCGAAAAGCGTTTAGTTTGCAGCGAAACGCGAAAAAAAAAGACACCGACGATAAATTATCGTGTCGTTCGATATAATCTCTGCCGACCTAATTGTCGCTTCGGGGCCATCTCCTACGCGGATATTTCAATCGTAGAAATAAAAAGGACCCCCCGTGCCGAGTGTTTGTTTAAGTTTACGTCCAGGCTTTGTACGCCTCATCACCGTTAGGCCGGAGATTAGCGTCGAGTTAAGGACAGCTCCCGCGCGCCCCCCGTCGGTAGCCCGATTGCTGTCGAGATAAAATCCGAGAGGCAATCGAAAGATTGACGCCTCACTAATGCTTCTGTGTGACACTATCTGTTATTAGCTATAATATAATTCGGCCATGAATAATATCGAATTAATTATCAGCAAGATTATAGAGGCATTTTGGTTTAAGATTTATTTATTTTTTTTAGGAAATAACAAACTAAATGTTATTTTTAATTCTCTTTTGTTTCACTTCATGGTATATAAATATTTAAATTAGTTAATGCAATGTCAACATAAATTTACTATTGATGATTGAAAAACTCGCGTTGCACGTATAGCATTATGTATCTATTGGTCGTGCTACTGCCATTGACACCGAGGCTGTATTGATTGAGTACTTAATAGATATGCAAAAGAAAAAACTTTTCAATAAACTAAAAAGAACAACATTAAATAAAATAAAAACAATCAAATCCTATTAAATTCGCGGAAACTAATCACTATAATACGATCTAGTATTTTTGATGTTATGTAAAAACTAATCTACTATTGATATACATATAAGTGAAACATAAAAAATTACAACTCTATATGATTTGATGAAGATTCATATTTTATTACCCACACAATTCCCTAAAACTGGAGTTTTTTTTATCATATTTATTGTCTTAGCTTTACAATTCGTCATTGCGAATTTTTTTTAAACTTTTCTAGAACTACCTAAAATTAATTTACTTCAATGTATGGTACATTTTCAAGCAATGCAATTCAGAAAAGTTCTGAAAATGCATGTTTTTTTTTTGTTGAATTGAACAACAAACGTCGTCACAGTTAAACCAATTCGCATAAAAAATTTATAAAAAAATATACACCTTTCTAGTGAATCAGTCTAGCTACTAATATAAACTTATAAAACTCTCTGAAATAAAGCCTAATAGATATGTCTATTTCATAACTTACCATGTAAACTAGACTTATTTTCAGAC